GATCACCGGGAATCAAGGTGAGGCACAACGTCGTTTACCGCGATAACCGGCATGAAACAGGAAAAAAGTTCAGATCAAATGGGAGCGCATAGATGGAAATGGTTGAGCCCTCGAAGAATATCTTTGAGAACTTCCACAAGACCTGTTCTTTCTGGACCTGTTCCTTTCGCATGTTAATACAGAGAATCTAACAGCGTATACCAAAAAATTAGATAAGCGCCTCAAGACATATCCTTAGTAAAATTGGGGGCAGACGACAGTGGCGAAACGCTCTGCATGTTCAGTGCTTCATTTGACTATCAGTTCCAAAAGTCTAGATCTTCATCATCAAAGGAGCGCCTTCTTTACATTTCACGTCGCATGTCATTTTGAAAGTCACGACACATTTCTGTATTTTCATGAGAATCTCGGACTGTGTTCCAACATGCAAAAGAAATGGCGCTGTTCATAAAAGAGCTGTCTTAGAAATCACTTCATCCAAATAAGACGCGGATACTGTTTTGCGCATGTCTTGTATTAGCGCAATGTAACCATGTAACAACCAGGATTTGCCTTCCTCCGAAAAAGCTTTGCAGTTTTTCGTCTTCCATATACTCTGTCCTAGACAATGTTCAACGTAATGTTATGTCACTAACAGTATAGTCAATGCTTCATCCGCTACATCTTCCTTGATTCAGCGGTCCATTCATTTTTGCCTTCGAGTGCTAGAGGAAGAAGCGGAGAGGGAATACTCACAAGGGCCCGTATTCGGCGCGGTTTTGACGTCAGGCGGCGGCAGGGCGGAGCGAAGGGCGATGGCCTGCGCATCCGCCACTGTCTTTTATGTGGAAGGAAAAAGAGAGAAGAGGATTGAACAAATAGCGGATGCGTATAGGTGAGTTAGTGGTAGTGGTGAGAGAATACAGAAAAGGCGACTATCATTTCGAATCACTTCAGTAAATGGCGAAACAGGCGAAATAGTTCTCTTCAGTTGCCATTACACCGTTATAAGGTCACACCCAACAGCTGGCAATTTGCAAATCCTCGCCTTGAACGTTTCTGTGAGAACTGTTTGCGGCGTTTTCACAATCGAAGGTAACTGTTTCCAGTTTCGCCAACTGCCAAAGTAATTCGCCGTGATAGTCGACTTTTCTGTATTCTCTCACCACAACCACTTAACCTGTAAGCATCAACTATCTGTTCAATCATCTTTCTCTCTGTTTTTCTCTTTTTCCTTCCCCATAAAAGCGGCTGTCGATTGGAGCACAGTGTCGCGGTTCGCGACAACGGTGCCAGGGTGCCGTGCGCCAGGGCTCTAGCTACACGGGCAAAGCCGCGACGCGACCGCCGTAGGCCGAGCCACCGCTCCGCCCTCAGTGGAGCTACATAAGCGGCAGGGAACAGTCGATGTTGCTTCATCTCCCCGGAGGTAGAGAACCAATTATCTGTCCACAGAGTAAAGGGCTCATATTTGGACTCTACAGCGAGACAGACTCACCAGTCGGCAGACTGCCAAGGAAATCGGCAGGACTTTTGCGTCGTTTGCTCCCATCTCAAGACTCCTGAAACTTACGACAGCGGTGGAGTTAACGAACGTTAACCCAAGCTGTACTCCGGAGAAGAACGGCAGACGTGGAAGCAAGGTTCCAACAGCACCTACAGCGTCAATCACACTCATGCAGAACTGGAGCTCTCTGTCTCGAAATGGACGACTTGTGGCTTTACACGCAATAGTGGCGTAGTGAAGGAAGTTTCAAAGATGGCATCACGCCTTGCTGGCACTCACAAATCGCCTCGTCTTCAACGTGCTAGGAAGAATGTCATGGTGGATTGGAAACAAGTGTGGTGACAAAACGCTACCTCAGAATTGCAGAGCAAGCTCTCATGTTCAGGTTATCCTTTCTAACAAGGAAAAAATTCAAACTGGATGGACCAGACGGCGCTTGATGTTACCGGTGTGGTTTAAGAGAAGATCCGATGCGGTTCAGTCGACGTAACTTCGGTGGCGCATTCTCTTATAGGTTTGGGGAGCCTACCGCTGGGACAGAAAGTTAGAACTAGCATTTATTCCTGCCAATTGGATTCATGTAAAGTCGAGAAGCTCTAGAGGTCTGCTGCCGCCTATTGGGTTGGCAACTGTTACCGCCGTTTTTCAATTTCAGTATTCCATATGTCACTAAATATTTCTGGCATACTGCTTTATGCCGTTCGAAAGAGTTTTCTGTTACCTTGAATTTTTCTTTTCGATTGAGCTAATTCATAATAGTTCGGAGCATTGAAATGGAAGTGAGATTGAGAAAAATGACCGTTTTTGGCATTCATTCTCTCGCCTCAAAAACTGAGGTTTCACCTCCACAAAAGCTGCTCGCGACATCTGTGCTGTTGGAGAGGTGCCATAGCTGAGAGAACCGCTAGTGGTTAGATAAGCCGAGTTTGAAAATGGAATACTTGAACTCAAAAAAGGTGCAGTTTTAGATGAAGGACTATTGAACAATTTTTACACGAAAATTCTCGTCAAGCGGAACTGGCAGAGAAAATGAGACTTTCACGTTGCTATACAGAAACAATCTTCACTCGCTGAGGAAGCTTTGAAAGTATGGAACATGGGTTCCGCCTGATTTAATTGAATACAAGAAAAATCACCGGGATTCGAGGTCGAATATTCCATTATTGATTTTAGCATAGCTATCAGTTGCGACTCTCTGAGCTATGGAACCATGTCTATAGACAACGCAAGGGTTGCGAGCAGCTTTCGTGGCGTCAAAACTTTGCAAACCTCACAAGCAAAAGGAAGGAGTTGTCGAAAATGCTCTTTCTTCCCAATTTGACATTCCATTTTAATGATCCTAAAATTCAATAAACTAGCCCGATCAAGGTGCACAACATAGATATCGGACGAAAACCATTCTCTTTTGAGTGGGGTAAAAGATCATGCTGCAAATATTAAGTGGTACGCGGAAGATTAGAGTCAGAAGAAAACGACGTTATCTCAGTTGTCAACCCAATACATCACCGGCGACGACGAAAGTCGATTTTCCAACTGGATTTCGCAAGTGTCCATACGCGCAGGTCAACGTCGAGGTGTTTTCAGTAGCACAAGTTGACGGGAGGATTGGCCCGCATGTAGTCCCTGATATAAACCCAGAGAATCTAGTTGTTCGAACGGTTCTGAAAACTGTAGGCAGGGTTTAAAGATCGGCTAGCTGAGTGCAGTGGTCGACGCGTGAAAAAAATTGCCGTCTCAGTCCCTGCAAGGCTAATAGTAAGTGTATCACATTTATTCATGGAGCTAGCTTCCGGACAAGGAGCATCGTTTGATTACTGGTTTCGTTATTGAACTCTTGTAAACTATCAGTCAAAGTGGAATATGCCCGAAATGGTCGAAAACCGATTTAATGCATGTGGAAATTTCCACAGGGAATCTGACTTTTGCAACATGTTTCTCAACGTCTTTATACGGCGACTATAACACCTTGATGACGAGCCATTTTTCCCATGACTTGCGCCTGGACGGCACATTTTTCTACATTGAAACTTGGTAATTTCCAAATAAATGAATTACCACGACCAAAATCTATCGAGAAATGCAAGAGACGAGTATACAATCTCGAATCTCTGACACAATTTAGCTCTTATTGCTCCAATCTTCCGAAATCAGGCCATTTTTTTACCAAATTCTTCCTATAAAGACAGAATTGACTGAAAATTTGTCTCCCGGGGTGGTTCGATCTCCTAAAGAACAATATCGCATCCCTCGACCCGAAAATGTTTGTTCTTGAAATTAATTTTATGAAAAGAAAGTGAAACAATCGCGCAGATCTTTGAGTTATATAATAACTGTGGGACAGCATTGGGCGACGCCGTTCCACAAGACAAACTTTCTGTCGTCCACCATTGACGGAAATCGTCGTCAACGCGTTAAGTGGACATGATATTTTTGTTGAGGGGGTCGGTTCACCGGTAGGGACAAGTTTTCAGGGAATTTGATGATCTATAGGACATTTTGGCGCGGGCGCCAGGCAGTTTTGTGGCAAGCGATTGTGATATTTGTGTTCAGGGGTCAAGCTAACCCACGAGACAAGTTTTCAACGATTTTGGTGACCTGAAGTATTTTGGCGCCGAGCATTTTCGCGGGAAACGAATGTGATATTCGTGTTCAGGCGTTCAAACTACTTTGGCGCCGGCGCCTGTGGCGCGGGCGCCGGGCAGTCCGGGCCAAACCACTGTGCTGTTCGTTTCAGAATTTCAGCCTACTCCTATAGACATCTTTTGAACAAACTTGGTTGCTCGCACGTCTTTATTATTAGAGCAGTATGCTGTCGGACAGCATTGTCCGACACCGTCCCATGAGACAGACTGGCTGTCGCCCACCATTGTCCGACACCGTCAACGTGTTAAGACAGCTCTGCGATAAAAGTGTCAAGGATAATTGCTGATCAATGAAACAGTAGCTGATAAGTAATTCCTCAATGAAGGAAAAAAGCAACAAGAGCCCTCAAGAACACCACAAACAAAATTGCTCCCTTACAGTTACACCGCCCTGCGGTCCGTGGGCAACCCCTGGCTCACAAATCGCTTTATGGCATTTCCCAGTAGTGGACAACATCCAAAAGAATATGAAAAACAACAAAGACACGAACGAAAAACACTTGAAAAAAGGAAAAATTCAAAACCTGGCGTCCGAATTTGGGGTTACGTGCAGTGTGCAGCTTTTGGTGCATGTCGAGCTTTTGCACCACAGAAATTGCATCATTCGTGATTTTTACGCGTTTTACCTTACGAGATGGGTTGCAGTTGACTGTATGTGCTCCCAATGAATAAAATGTGATGAAGGAGAGCAGAATTATTTATGGGCACGAGCGCGGTCAGCAAAAAGTACATGCAGTTCCGATTAATGCCCGCCGTCCCAACAAAGAACAACTGAGCGGCTCTCCGTCAGAGGGCAGCTAGCAAGTGGGGCGGTCCAACTGAGCGGGCGTTAGAACTAGAACTTTGAGCGGCTGTAGCTCGCTCCTCGCTCACTGTGGAGTCGCGAGAGTGGGACAGTATCTAGCTTGGGGGCTGAACTACCTGCACAAGAAGGACGACCATGTACTACTTGAGCACGGGGGCTCTTTAAAGTGGATGCAACAATATCGGATCACCGCATGGAGACATGCTTTCACCAATTTAAGAGGTTGGAGGTGTACTGAATGGGAGATCATGATGGCTGTTAGCTTGTTGATAGATATTTAGGAACACTAAGCTGTAATTTAAATTGAGAGTGTAAAAATTGAGGCAAGACATACAAGATAACCTCCTAGTTCAATTTCATCTGTTCTAGAACCAACGCCCACGCCTAGATAAGATTGAACTACAACGACGTGACAAGGAAGACCAAGCCATGGAGGATCAAGAATCAAATGTTCGTCATCAGTCGAATAAACGGTAGTGTTATTCAGCTAAGAACTTTCTTGATGGGACTACTTTGCCCAAGTACGTTTGTCTGTCTTCCAAATGAAGGCGGGATGAGCTTTTAAGATATAAGAAGTTGAGAATTATGGTGATGTCGTCAATGTTCCCTGGTTTGCCTTCGTTCTTAAAAAGCAATTTCGAACGAGTTTCCCGTAGGCATGTTGTCAGCAACCGCTACGGGCACTGGTGCATGTATGTACTCACACATCCATATAAGGGTACCTTGTAAAAGGCGCTACGCAGCGCCTGATCAGGGTCGCGGAATTCCCTCCGGCCAGGCGTTTTAACCATACTCGTCTTTGGGGATTTATCGTGCCAACTGCCTTTAAGTGGGATAAAAGTGGGATATCCGTTCAGTGGGATATCCGTTTAAGTGGGATATGCGTTCACTAGGAGACCGGGTGTGAAATGTTGTAATTGCTCTTCAACTCTCCGCGTTCTCGACAACCTCGGTATTCTGACCTACGTTGAACGGAAGATATGTATAAATGGCAGGACTGCGGTACACTGCAACTAATCAGGAAACTGGATTGCTGCCACCTGACTTCTTCCTCTGAATTGATGGTTAATTTTGAAAAACCTCTCACAGAATGGACGTCATGGATCTCATCAAACTGGCGTCGGGCGAGGAGAGTGACCGAAGACTGTCGTCAGTTGACGAGAACAACAGTGTCCTCGATTCTGGTGATGCTACTGGCTCTAACTCCATTATTGATTGCAACAATTCGGATACAGTTGACGTTTTTCAAGAGTAAGTTCACTTTGTTTGTGATGCCACTCATTTGTGTTTCACTGAAGCTCGCTATTCCTATCCTTGTTTCAGTGCAATAGGTGTAACACCGAGCATATCTTCAGAGTCCAGTGCCCTACTAAGTTGTGGTTCCAGCAAGCTTCATATACAGCGATATCATGGTGTGTCCTTGATGTTCTCTTTTTTGCACTAAATGCATGACACCAAGCGGGGGGGGGGAGAGGGCTGTTGTTGCTGAAAGCTGTTTTTGAGAAGACCAAGTCGGATCGCGCCCGCCTTCGGCGGGCGATCCTCCTTATGCGTGTGAAGTGGGTCCCGGCCATCCAAACTGAGGGCCAGTCGGATCGCCCGCTTTCGCTACAGAAAATTTTTTTTCGCAATTCCAGAACATTACCGTTTCACATTTGGTATATACCCCCCCCCCCCCCCCCCCCCCCCCCCCCTAGTGGACGGTTGTGAAATTTTCGTAAAGGCGAGGGGTGGAATGCCGGTAGTGGATGAACTGAAGTGGAAGTGTGTGTGTGTGTGTGTGTGTGTGTGTGTGTGTGTGTGTGTGTGTTTGAGTTGTTGTAGAATGAATAGCAGGTAAATAAACAAATAAATAAATGCAAAAAATTGGTAGTAAGTTATGAATTTTCGATTATGACCTCATATTCACTGCTGTTCTCACTTGCCTTGCGACTATATTATGAACTTTTGCAGCAGGCGCCGCCGACTCGGCGCGCATCTCATCCGCTGGGGTGTGTCTTCACTTATGTTACCCCCCCCCCCTCCCCCCCCCTCTCCATAGAATGCAGCCCACTCGAATCTGTAACAAAATTCGAGTCGATCACAGAGCTGGTTCATCCAAACACTGCTCGCAAAAATCGATCGAATCAACCTCGACCCACTTCTTACTCCACGTTTTCCCGCTGCTCGGGTAGTTCCGGGTTTGAACTTCGAAATTTTTACTTGGTCCCCGCCTACGCAGACAAACGCCCCGCCGACTGCAATCTGCCGGGCTCTTTCCAACGCCCAGTTCGGGTGTGCCTCCTTCTGTTTATCTACCTGCCCACTTTTTACTCGAGTCCGTTTTCCCGCTGCCCGAGTAGTTCCGGGTCTGAATTTTGAAGATTTGCGTTAGGCCGTTAGGCCCGCCCGCCCGAACAAACGCCCCGCTCACTTCGGGTGTGCCCCCACGCCCATTGTGGGTGTAGTCTAACGTGGTGCATAGAGAATGATTTTGTCCCGGGTCCCCGTGATCTTCCGAAGGAATTTTACGAATTTTTGTCGTTGGCATTACTCACTTCGTGCATCAAGCCCGTTTATTGTGTGCGAGGCTTGGTTTGTGACTTTCAACATGCCCTCACCCCCCATCCCAAAGTTGACGGCTTTTAAGTGTTTTGTTGACAACGTTTCAACAGACACCGCTCAGCTATACATAGGCCCCGCCCATTGTGGGCGGAGCCTATTCTCCTATTGGTCCGTCCGTTCGGGCGAACACGCAAGCGTACAAACACACACACACACGCACACACAACTTCTGCTTTATATATAGAGAAGGATACTTCCGGAGTGTTTCCAAGTCCCCTTGTGAGTCTGGCTGATTGCCAGCTGCTGGGAATTATGACCATGGCGTTCTCATTCTTCGATTTCATGGAATGGGTTTCTCAAGATAGCTTCATAGTACAGTAGCGACACACCTTTTAGGAAATCATTGCTACCGCTATTCCTCTATTATGCCAAAATTTTTCTGGTTCTGTAAACACAAACTGTAAAATCACCTCCGTGGGGCTAGATCCCTGCCATGTGGGAGGTGAAAGGTCTGCAGCTACAAAAGAGTGATGTGTTACTTTCTCCGCTCAAAGGTGTACGGGAACGAGGGCCCTAGGGTAGTGATACCCTTGCGCCCTCCGCAAACTCCGCCTCGCGCTGGCGCTTTGCCAGTCCTGATTAGCCAATCGCGCCCTGTCGCTTCTCTTTGACCTCATGACAGCGTGTTCGCTGTGTCTTTAATGGTTCCCGAATACAGTCTGATCTATTCTTCAACCGTTTTAAGGTGGGATAGCGTGTCATCATAAAGGAGACGGTGTGAAATGTTTGTAATTGCTCTGTCAAAACTTCCGCGTTCTCGACAACCTCAGTCATTCTTACCGTATCGGTTGAACGTAAGATATTTAATAAATGGCAGGAACTTGTGGTAAGGCAGCAACTGAATCAGGAAAACGTGATTGCTGCCCCCTGAACTTCTTCCTCTGAATTGATGGTTAATTTTGAAAAACCTCTCACAGAATGGACGTCATGGATCTCATCAAACTGGCGTCGGGCGAGGAGAGTGACCGAAGACTGTCGTCAGTTGACGAGAACAACAGTGTCCTCGATTCTGGTGATGCTACTGGCTCTAACTCCATTATTGATTGCAACAATTCGGATACAGTTGACGTTTTTCAAGGAGTAAGTTTCACTTTGTTTGTGATGCACATCATTGTGTTTCATCTGAAGCAACAAAAATCCGCTCGCGTATTCCTATCTTTGTTTCAGTGCAATAGGTGTAACACCGAGCATATCTTCAGAGTCCAGTGCCCTACTAAGTTGTGGTTCCAGCAAGCTTCATATACAGCGATATCATGGTGTGTCCTTGATGTTCTCTTTTTTGCACTAAATGCATGACACCAAGCGGGGGGGGGGGGAGAGGGAGTTGAAAGCTGTTTCTTAAGAAGATACTTCCGGAGTGTTTCCAAGTCCCCTTGTGAGTCTGGCTGATTGCCAGCTGCTGGGAATTATGACCATGGCGTTCTCATTCTTCGATGTTCATGGAATGGGTTTCTCAAAAATAGCCTTCATAGATACAATAGGCGACACACCTTTAGGAAATCATTGCTACCGCTATTCCTCTATTATGTCAAAAATTTTCTGGTTCTGTAAATTCAAACTGTAAAATCACCTCCGTGGGGCTAGATCCCTGCCATGTGGGAGGTGAAGGTCTGCAGCTACAAAAGAGTGATGTGTTACTTCTCCGCTCAAAGGTGTACGGGAACGAGGGCCCTAGGGTAGTGATACCCTTGCGCCCTCCGCAAACTCCGCCTCGCGCTGGCGCTTTGCCAGTCCTGATTAGCAATCGCCCCCCCCCCCCCCCCCCCCCCCCCCCCCCCCCCCCCCCCCCCCCCCCCCCCCCCCCCCCCCCCCCCCCCCCCCCCCCCCCCCCCCCCCCCCCCCCCCCCCCCCCCCCCCCCCCCCCCCCCCCCCCCCCCCCCCCCCCCCCCCCCCCCCCCTCATCACAGTCGATGTTCGCTGTGTCTTTAATGGTTTCCCGAATACAGTCTGATCTTATTCTCACTTCGACATGAACACGAGGCTCAAAGACATTCCACGATTAGCCGATGAATCGAATCCCTTGGTATTAGGTTGTCCGGAAAGTTCTCAGCGTTTTGTGCACCTATTTTTTGTACATTCACTGCTGATTAAAAACTCATTCTGCCTTGCTTCTCAGTAGCACATCCTGTAGAGAATTTCTTGCGCTATCTGATGGTATAATTGCCGTTCACCATTGCTTGATAAACCCCCTTTTTTCAAGATTTTTTCAAGCATGTGAAAAGAGCACTTCGGACGATTTTTTTCTTCGACTATAAATTGGGGCAATCCGCAATCGAAACAGCTCAACAAATTAACCAGGTGTGGGGGCCCAATGGTTCTCTAACAGAAAGCACTGTGGCCGGCAGATGGCTTCAACAATTTCGTTCTGGAGATTTCAGCCTTGAAGGTGAACCTCATAGCGGTCGACCTAAAGCAATATCTGACGAGGATTTTAGGGGGATTTTGGAGGCTGACCCATCCCAAACAGTTCGAGAGATAGCAGAAGAGCTAGGCCTTGGCAAATCCACTGTTGCAGATGGTCTGGAACGCATTGGGAAGGTGAAAAAACTCGACAATTGGGTGCCCCACAATCGGAGTGACCGGCAGGAATCGGCACGTCTCGAGGTTCCTTCTGCATTGCTTTTGCGCAGCAGAAACGACCTGTTTTTGGGCCGAATTGTCACCTGTGATGAAAAATGGGTCATGTATGATAACAGGAAGACTCCGGACAGTGGTTGATTTCGACGAACCCACCGACGGTGGAATCTTTTAACAGGCCGAACCCTCCACGAAAAAAAAAGATTCTGGTCACGGCTTGGTGGTCATCGGCTGGTGTGATCCACTATAACTTTTTATCACCAGGCCAAACCATCACAGCAGAACCCTACTGTGAAGGAATCGATGAATTGTACCGAAAATTTTTCAAATGTAGCCCAACACTTATCAAAAGAAAGGGTCCGATTCTTTGCATGACAACGCCCGCCCACACGTTTCACAAATCACTATCCATAAATTGAACGAATTGGGGGTTGAAGTTCTACCTCAACCGCCATATTCTTCAGACCTTTCGCCAATCGACTATCACCTTTTCTAACATTTTCAGAACTCCCTTGCTGGAAAATACTTCATCAATCAGGACCAGGCAAAAAAGCCTTCGTGGATTTCGTGAATTTTCGACCACCCAGTTTTTTATTTTGATGGGATTTCTCGACTGCTGTCACATTGGCAAAAGTGTGCTGATTCGAATGGTGCCTATTTCGATTAAATCCGATGAGTATTAAAAAAGTTACGATCGTTTAAAGTGAAACACCCAAAACGCTGAGAACTTCCGGACAACCTAATACATGTATTTCGGCGATCGCCATAGGTTGAACCTACATTCGCTGCTACACAGTGAGTGACGAGAGCACTGCGGTCGCCATAAGCTGAAGTTATGGAACCCGTATAAGTTGACTCAGCCATTTGAGCGTTGTGTGTCAGCGGTCGCATGTTGAACACATGTGTGACGCGCTGGTCCTTTTAATTGTAGGACCACTGTCGTCGCCTTGTTCATATTCCAACTACCCTGTTCCATCATTTGTCTCTGGCCATCATCCGCGCAACAGTGAGTCAGCCTTACATAGGGCGTATTCGCCGGTCCTTCTCTTGTTCGCTAATGATCGACTTACATCAGAGAATCCGTGTCTGGACTCCAGAGATCACAAATCCCAATTGCGAAATGTGCCCTTGATTTGTTCTAATAGGTCACTTAGGGTGGACATTTTGGAGCCCTTAGCCGAAAGGCTTATGTAGCGGCTGTATCTAATCAGAATGTGCTTCAGGCGATAGTTCATTATTGCGGACGTGATGTAGTGGAGAACAGTGACGCTTTCCACGTGCAATCCGTCTTCCCGGCTTCAACCTGAGCCAGTCAATCCTTTTATCTCTGACTTCTGCATCGGTCGACCCTCACAAGCAGTTGCAGACCCACGCCCACTGCATAAGCCGCACCGGATGTTCTGTGCTCAGTCGTCCAGAGATGTTGTTTAATCACTCTTTCTGGCCGAGCATCTGGGGGTGGGTAGGGGGCAGGAGGAGAGAAAGGAGAGAAAGCAAGGGAGGAGAAAAGCAGGATTCTGAAAGGAAGCATGCTGATCCTGCTGTTTTCGTTGCTGTGATTACATAAACAGAAACATAAGGGGCACTTCCGTAAGTTTCGGTTACGTGACATCTTGAACTTTTGTGCATGGTCCTGTTGCGAAACAGGACAGCTAGCGCCCGCATGGTGAATACTACACGCTGCTTCTGTGATACTCTAGTGTGCTTGATTACATCAGAATTTAATCTTTAAAGACAGAAGGACAGATAGGGAATTTACATAGATAATAGACAAGCAAAAGGAGCTATGACAAAAGGCATGAGAAACTGTACGAGGTTACGGTACAGAACAGACAGAAGCACCAATAGAGATCGGATGTTCTTGGTAACGGGGGCATCGCCCTCAAGGAGTAGCCTGGCCAGGAACGGGCCGGCAGCTCCGGACCTAGGCAGATGCGTCGACTCCCGCATCGTCGAGACTGTAGGCTCGCCACGGCCCTGAAAAGCTAACGTGAGTTCATACCAAACACAAGAGGCCACGCGCCGTCCCGGCGCGCGGTTAACAAAACCCTGTGACTTCGAAACGTGCAAAAAAACGTTGGGCGAGTCATGGAAACGGGATTTTTCAAGGGGAGGGGACTCCGGGGTGGGTGAGCTAAGCTTGCAGTGGGTGAAAAGGTGGAGTTAGCGAAGTCAAAACAGTCATAGAGTGCCATAGGGGACGAGAGGAAGTGCAGAGAAAAGGAGAGGATCAACGCGTTCAAAGGGATTAAGTTCAAGTTGTCCGTAGCCATTTAAGCACGTAAGCTTTCACGTGCGCCATGGCCAATGGTGCAGATTTTTGGGGCGCAGCCGGGCTGGGTGAGGTCATTTTGCTGGTTCCCATGTACCATTTCCGCTACATGTGGAGACCCGTAAACTCTATAAAACTGTGTGTACCTCGAGTTTCTCTTACAATTGTCAGGAGTCTATAGGACTGCGCAAGGTGAGATAAGCTCACTTTATCTGGTATAGGAAACTAGGCAACGAGACGACCCCCCCCCTGAGCCAAATAGCGCCGATGTTTCTTGTATTTTATGTAGTTTTACAGTTGCTGGAACTTTTTTTACAGATCACCCTGTAGCGTTGCCGGCTGCAAGATAAGTTTTAACATCTCTAGATCTCAGAACGAGTAAGCATATAAATGCTTGATTCAGCTAGCTGTGAATTAAATAAGTACAACCTTTCACTAAGCAATCATCTTATTGCTACAAATTTATCAGCTCATCGAATTGCTCCATTTGCGTTCAAGAGTTCAATACCATGCGGTGAAATTTTGTGAGACTGTGATGGTATTTATTTTCTTGTGTTTCTCATCATTTAATTACCTCTTTCATTTGTCTTGTCTTTTAGATCTTCGTAGAATTCGCATGCTTTCTATTTCATGCATTTACTAGAGTATCTTCCTGTACATATTCATATTATCTAAATATTCTCGTATCATCAACTGTATTGTAAAATAACTTTCTTTCTAGCGATATGCTTTATAGTGTTTGTTTTAGAAGAAATCAAAAAAAATCTAAGAAAAAAAATACTCGATTTTGATCTCACTGTACCCTTTGATAATAATGTCAAATGTATAGCCGTTGATGGTTTTTTCTATTGTAACCCTTAATCCTGTTTTATTTATATATCTGTATTCGATGACCCTTATCCTTACCTGCGATACTAAGTCTACCAAAGTGAAACTACTTGTATTTGAATGTTTCTTGTGATAGAGAATGATGCTTTTATTTCGTTGCTCATACGTCTGGTTCTTTTCATACCTAGAGCCTCTCTCTACCTTCACTAAAAGATCCATTCGAGGTTAAATTCCCATCTTTGTGACAACGATAGTAATGTTTTTGTAACTATGTATATTGACTTGCGTTCATTCCCAATAAAGTATAATGTCCTGAATACCCGTGTAAATTACAAGGCTTTACCCTTTCAACATCATAAACGACGTCTTCTTCGCTGCGGATGCTGGGCGTATTGGGAGCAGGGTAC